TACAACATGGGGGGTGGGGGCACACAGTGCAGCTTCTATGGTGGAGTGCTTTCCCCCACCCACTGGCATCTGCTGCCTGAAGGACTCACTTGACTTTGCTTCATGGTACGTTTCGCCCTGGTTCTCCTTCAGGCAGCAAACGTCTTGATTTGGTACTGTCAGTCACAGGAACATCAGTGGGATTTTAACTGCAAGCGTCAAGCATAAGGGCTTCCTATCCTGTCCTGTCCTGTCCTGTCCTGTCCTGTCCTATCCAAACTTATACTTCTAGTTCTAATCATGTGGGGCTTTGATTCAGCCTTTGGGGAAACATAGCATTCCTGCATGTCATTGCAAAATAGTTTTCCTCCTTGCTGGTACAGCATATCAACAGCTCCGTCAGTATACTTACTGCAAAAGCACCCTTGAAATAGATCATTTCAATAATATTTTTGCTGTATCCATACCAGCTGAGCAACTGACATGCTGTACCAGCAAAGACTTCATTTGTCTCTTTGCAACATGGATATTATCTCCACATGATTAAAGTGTTAGGCAATTCCTGACTGTCAGACTCTGATATGCAGAGTTTGTTCTTGTTCTTAGGAAGTTACACCCCATCCCCAAAAATATGCTCTCTACAGATAAACTTACGATGGATGGAGGAGCTCCATCTACACATACAAGGCTTTTGGCTCCATGAGGGAATTCAGCTGGTTGAAGGGGAGAGGCAATCTTTGCTCCATCTCAAATTTGCTGTGGTAGGTTGGACCAAGTATACCTGAACAGTGGGGGAAGATGACGTGGGAGGCCACAGAAAAGGGAAATAGTGCAGTGTTCTAGGTGGAACTGTGGTCAAGAGCTGCTTGCACTCATAGAACAAAGTCTGGATCAAACCCATTATACAGAAGTACACATTGCATAATTCAATGAATTTAATTCTATGTAAATAAGTTTAGAGACATGACTAGCCTTAATTTGGAAATATATCCCATGCATTTAAATAAAACTCAGGACTCCCTTGTTGTTGCCTTTCGCTTGCCCCTCCTGCGAAGGAGGACCTGCTGTGTTCAGTGGGACATAAGTTTCTTATGGGTCGCAGCTGGAAACAGGTATCCATCAAAATGTGTTTTTTAAAACTGAATGTTGGCCTTTCTGGGATAATCCAAGGAGGCATGGACTCCAAATAGCTTGGTGGTGTGTCAAGATTTAACTGGTGGGGGACAGTGTTCTGTGGGATGAACATCAGTATGGCTGGTTCTTAAAAAACAGAAGGACACCCCATGCTGGAAAATAGACGTCTTTGGAAGGAAAAGAAAAGGGGAAATTCTGAATGTGATAGACAACTGCTGAAGTGGGATAGGGTAAATTGTTGTTTTAAAAGGGCAATAGAAATATTCCCACCCTCAGCCTCTAAAGGTTTATAAAAGGAACTTCAGAAGTGTCCTGACAGTGCCAAGGAATAGAGTTGTGCCCATTTCCCCATTTTCTACACAACAGTCAAAATTCCAGTAGGTGCACTGTTGGAGGAATCACACTTTCCACCCATTTGAGAGCTGGGGAAGTATGAAGCAAGCACGTAGGGAAGCAAGTGTGGGGAAAAGGTATTGGAGTTGTTCACAAGAATTTTGTAGTGTCATGACTTCCATCAGCTGGAATTCCCCTTGAAGGATATATGCGAGGAACCATCAAGAACATATATCTCCAGGGGCCAAAAGCAAAGGTAGCCAGATTGGCCACAGCAAAAACATACTTATCCGTATGTGTTTTTCTAGGACAAACCCATGAACTAAATCAGCACAAATGTAGCCTTTTAAAAATGTATTGATGAAGAATTCTGATATATTTGCCATGGTTATGATGCACTGCAAAAGCTTTTAAAGGAAGCAAACGTTCTACAGAAATGCTTCTGGTTTCCATGTATGTGTACTTAGGGTTGTAACTTAGCTAGCTAATGTCCCAAGACCCATAACTCTCACTGTCTGCAAGCAGTACAGTGCATATTCAAGCAATCTGTGGAAGAGATGGGTATTATGCACCTGATCCTGTTGCTTGTACATTTTAGGCTGTCATCTTTGTTTTATTTTTAAGTACTGGATCATCAGCTGTATGCAGCAAACAAACCATCAGGAATCCTTTTGTTCAAGCTCCTCTGAAATGATTGGAAATTGTTTAAGACCACTTTCATGCTCTGTCACAAGTCCCATTCATATCAATAGGGTAGATCCTGCCTGTTCCCCTGCAAGGTAATTGTGACGATGAAAAGAAAGGATTTGATGTGAGCCAAGGGCTTTGTGGGAAGGGTAAAGAGATCGCTTCTTGCCTCAGCTAATAATTGCCCTTTTGCACTACAGGTGCTTCCAGATGGATGGTGCCTAATGCTACCAATCAAAAATATTGTGCAGTTATTCTGTCTCTTCCTCTTAATGGATTTTTTTATGGAAAGAAGGGGGGAATAGGCAGACAAAGCAGTGGGGAAACATAGGTGGGTGTTAAGTGGAAGATGGCAATGTCAAGCTCCCTTTAAAATTCTGTGAATGAGGCAAGCCAATTGCATGACATGAGCCACATCTGGCAGCTGGGGATGATGGAAGCTATTGCCTACACATCTGGAAGGCAACACAATAGGAAATTCTTAGGAGGGCAGGTGATGACACCTGCTGATTTCCCTAGTGATATTTAAAGTGCAATTTTAAAATGAATTAAAATTAAAAAGCTGTGTGATCCCTCTTTGCAACTTGCAAGCCGCAAGTCGTATGGCTCCTGCCAGTCGGACTTTGGTGGGGCTACGCAGTCAGGGGCTTGCCATGAAAGGCAGTAGCTCCATTACATTTCCCACAATATAACTATACGAGGGTCTTTAAAAATTATGCGCGCGCACACCCACACACACACAAACCTAACTGGTGGCACATATTTGTGATAAAACATTTCACTATTTGATGATGTATTCAAGTACACATTCAGTTTCATTTATGGAACATCAGCTTGATCTGTCTATTGCTATCTTTTAAACAAAGTTTTTTACCATCCTCACTCAAAGGCTAGCCAGAGATTACTCAGATGATGTCCTCTGACATTAATGGGCCTACTCAGGAGTAAGCAACCAGAGACTTGCAACCAGTTAGGGGCAAGTGCGGCAGACAGTGCATGCATTTTATCTATTTACATGGTTTTAGGAGCCCAGAGTCTCAGAAGATGAACCCAATGAAAAGAAAAATGGAAGAGAAGGGATGCCCTTATCTGGACCAAAAGGTTGTAAGCACTTGCAATTTGCTCAGTTTACCTTCCTTGCATTTACTATTCCAAGGAAGAGAAAGAGTCCAGTCATGGAGATGTGATCTCGCTCTCTTTCTCTCTCAATTTCTTTTTCCTGTTTCCAAAGGAAACCCAGGGCACAATCCACCAGAAACTGCTTTGTCCTTGGAATTACTTTTTGCAATTTGCATCCTAACAAAGGTTTTAAAAAGTAATAAACTAATTATTGCCATCTTTATGAAATATTCCACTACTTCTCTGTCCTGATAGCTTATGTAAACATCAGGCTAACTGTGCCTCATCCATTCTATTTGTCTTTTTCTTTCTTCCACAAGCCTGCTGAAGAGTTCAGTGTAACAGGGAAGCTCACTGCCAGAAATTTAAACACTAAAATACCCAATAAAATCCACTGATTTGTTTTCTGCTTCTTTAAGAGGAGCATCAAAGATTCTTTCCGATCAAGGCTGTAATCCTCCTACAGCTCAATCTGAGGCGTTTTTACTCTGAAGTAAGTCCCACCATCAACTGCCTTTCCCCCAACAAGTGGAAATCCTTTTCCTTCAGTGGAAATCCCTTGCACTGAGTGAATACCTTAAAAGTAAACCTGTGTGGGATCATATTGCCCCACACTCTTTTAAAAATAAAAACACAAAAAGCACCAGAAGCTGACTGTTCAAATCATATTCTTATGCAAGGGACTGAGCTTTATCCCTCTCTTTCCTTCCCAAATGGGGTTCCCAACAATATATGGGATACAAGCGGATGAGTTAACAAGGGAAGGGATGCTTCAAGCACCAGCTGCTGTTCCCCCTCCAAAATGCACTTTTCACAAGGTCATCAGCCCATCTCTCAAACCCCCCTACTTGGCTCAGTTGCTTCGCTCCCTTTCAGAGTTCGTACTTACTCAGTCTGAATAAGAAACAAAGTTTTCCGCTTCTTGTTTTTTACTCCACGTTTGGGCAGCGGAGGGAGGAAAAACCAGACGAGATTACTTTTGTTTTGTTTGAAATGCATAGGATGGTTTTATTGTGGTTTCAATTCAGGCAGATACCCTGTTGTTTGGTTGTTTGGTTGGATTTTCAGGTCTGCAAGCCCTCCTAACCCCAAACCGCCCCACATCCTGTTTCACAGCCCACCCTCCTCCAATCTCCAGAGACAATCAGATCAGATTATGTATGCACGGTTGGAGTAAGGAGTAAACTCTGAGAAGGAGTCGAGGCTGAGGCCAGGAGCGACAACACAAAGAAATGGACAGTCAGGCTTCCCAATGCCATCCTACCTTCCTGAGCTGGCTTCGTTGAGGAGTAGTTCAAAAAAGGACAGAGACTGATGGATGAACACGGACTATAGTCTCACATTGCCCGTCAATGAACTTGACCACTTGTGTCTGTGTTTGAACCCAAGGCAGAGCCAAAAGAGAGGCCTCCATAATAGCGCCCAAGCTGACACAGGGGGTAGAGATGATGCCCCCTTTTCCTCCCCCTCTCCCAGTAAAGGAGCTAGCCATGGCCCAGCCCTATTGCATTCCAGGTCATGTCAATGGGGCAAGGAGGAGAAAGTCTGCAATGCCTCTATGATGAGCAGAAGATGGGTGGAAAGGTTTGTAAAGACAGAGGAGATTCAAGGCAGGGAGGGGGGAGAACAGGAAACCCACTGGGGCCCTTCCTTCCCTACCCCTCTCCCAGTCACCACCCCTTCTCTCCTCCCCTCTCCTGAAAAGTGTCTGCTTCTGCTGCCGGCGCCACGCCTCCTCCTCCAGTCACTCACTGCGTGCAAAACTTGCACTTGATGATCTTCTTAAAAGCACTTTGGAAATCTTTGTTGAAGTAAGCATAGATGACGGGATTGAGGAGGGAGTTGGAGTAGCCCAGCCAGTTGATGACAGCCCCCAGCCAGTCTGGCATGTAGCAGCCTGAGTCACAGAAGGGCAAGACTAGGGCCACAATGAAGAAGGGCAGCCAGCAGAAGATGAAGGTGCCCATGATAATGCCCAAAGTCTTGACCGTCTTCCTCTCGCGGGCCAAAGCCATCTTGCGCTTGGCCTCAGCATTCCTGGGTTCGTTCTTGCGCTCGTTGGCCGGCGTGGCAGCCCCAGCTTGCAGGTGCTGGTGATGCTGGTGGTGGTGGTGGTGGTGGTGGTGGTTGGGCAGTGGCAGGTGACTCTTGGCAGAGTTCGATGGTGTAACCTCAAGTATCTCCAAGGCAGAAGGAGCTACAGGGCCATCCTCTCCTGAACGGATGGTGCCATTGACACAGGCACCACCCACCCCTTTGTGCTCTCCTGCACCTTTCCACCTTTTGGCCTGCTGCTGGGGCCCCCCATTGCTCCTCTTAGGCTCACTGGCAGGTGAGGCAGAGAGGCAGGTGTCCACCACCTTCTCCTCCTCCTTCTCCTGCTGCTTCTTGTCAGTCTTCTTGACTGTCTTGCGGATGCGGAAGCGGGCTGCCTTGAAGATGCGCCCGTAGAGCACCAGCATGAGGATCAGCGGGATGTAAAAGGCGCCAAAGGTGGAATAGATGGTGTAGCCGGGATCTTTGCTGATGGTGCAGGCGTTGGGGTCGGACCTGTCTTCGGGGGTCCGCCAGCCCAACATGGGTGGGATGGAGATGAGGAAGCCAATCAGCCAGGTCAGGCTGATGAGCACGGCAGCGCGCCGGGGCGTCCGCTTGTTGACATAGTCAATGGGGTCGGTGATGGCCCAGTAGCGGTCCAGGGCAATGGCACACAGGTGGAGGATGGACGAGGTGCAGCACAGCACGTCGAGCGAGTTGAAGATGTCGCAGGTCACCTGGCCCAGCGTCCACTTGCCCAGCACCTGGTACAGGGCGGCCATGGGCAGCACCAGCACTGACACCATCAGGTCCGTGACGGCCAGCGAGCCGATCAGGTAGTTGGCCACCGTCTGCAGCGAGCGCTCCAGCGCGATGGCGGCGATCACGCACGCGTTGCCCAGCACGGCGAAGAGGATCAGCGCGCCCAGCACCACCGACGTGCCCAGCTGGTAGCCCAGGCTGGCGCTCAGCGCGGGGCCGGCCGCCAGCTGGCTGCCGTTGCCCGTCTCCGCCGTCGTGCTGTTCGGCATCTCCATGGCGGGCGGGCGGGCGGGCGGGCGGCGGCGGCGGCGGCGCGGGGGGCGCGGGGAGCGGCGGCAGAAGCGGGCGGCAGCGCCTTCACTCCGGCAGCTGCGGCGGACGGCGCTCCCCGAGGGTCTCCACCATGGCCCCACCGACGGGATGGGCGCAGGCGGGCAGCGGCCCCGGGCGGCTGCGGGCTCACTCGCGCCCCTCAGCGGGCGAGGGCGCGCGGGCGGCGGCAGGGCTCGCTCGCGGCTCCCCCGGGCAGCGCCAGGGCCGGTCCCGCAGCGCCGGCTGCATCTCGCCCCGGGCCGGGCATGGCCGCGGGCAGCGTCGAGTGCTCCTTCGCTCGGCTGCCCTCCCGCGCCCTCCGCCTCCGCGCAGCGCCGGAGCCCGCGCCGCCGAGCCCCACTTGCTGCTCGCTGCCTCCCCGCTCCGGCCGGCCGGCCGTCGCTCGCTCGCTCGCTCTCGGCGGCTCCTGCCTGCCCCGCTCTTACCCAGCCCTCGCCATCCCGGCACTCACGTGCGGAGCTCGGCTTCCCTCAGCCTTCTCCGCTGCCCTGCCCTGCCTTGCTCCGTTGGGTCCTCTCCCTGCCGCTGCCGCTGCCGCTGCCGCTGCTGCTGCTGCCGCCTCGCCCGCTGCCTCTGCCTCACTTCTTGTCTCGGCTTCGGTCAAAGTTACTTATTCATCTCGCCTCCCTCTCGCTCCTCCTCGGCTCCCCGCCCGCCCTGCTCCTCGCCGTCCTTGCGTCTCCTGCCGCTGCCCCGCTGCTCCCGCACTCGCCGCTGCCGCTTCTTTTCTGCAGCCGCTCCCCCTCCCCTTTTGTAGCGCCGGCTGGCTGCTCCCTGCTCCTCTCGCGCGTCCCACCCCCGTTCCCCACTCCGATCCTCTCCCCCCTCTTGCTCAGTGGGTTGCTTTGCTCCGCTTCGCTCGGCCTTTTGGGTTTCCCACTCTTGTTGTTGTTGGGGGGGGGTTGCCCTCTGGTCCCTCCCCTTGCTGTCATTCGCACTTCGCCACTAAGTCTTGCCGATCCCCTCCCCTTGCCGACAAAGACACACATGTCCTCCCCTCCTCTCCCCACTCCTTCCTTGGCCCCTCCCTCTTCTCTTTCCCCCCACCCCCAAAACACACCTTAAGTGCTATAAGGCGGCCTTTCCCGCGGACGGTCTCTTTCGTCAGCGGACTCCGGAGCCCCGGTGCGGGGCAGAGGAGGAACACCTGGCACCCTGAAAGCGCCGTCTAGGTCTCGCCCCCTCCCCCGCAGCTTATCTCAGCTAGGCAGGGCCTCCCAAGGAGACGGAATCCCCAGCAAGCCGATTTTCCTCCTCCCCGTCTCTCCCCACGCTCGCGAAACCCAAACCTCCCACAGGCGCGGCGGCAAGCGGGGGTAATCGCTCCAAAGAGCGGAAAGTTCCTGCGAAAGTGAGAGGGAATCAGCCTTTCCCTGCCAGGCGGCCTCACCCTGCCACGCTTTGGGTGCTGCCCTTCTGGGTAGGATTAGCCCTGCCAAAAGTGCAAGGGCCAGCAAGGAGAATGAGCTGTTCGTTGGCCCAAAGCCAGGCGGGAAGAAGCGGGGCGCGGGGCGGGGGGCAGCGCCTGGCCGAGGACAGACGGACGGGGAACGCGATGCTTCTCCTTTCCTTTCAACGTACGCTCCGGGGCTGGAGGGCGCATTTCTGTCCAACCGAACGCAGGATGGCTTTTGAGGCTGCAAGAAGGATCCCCCCGCCCCCGTCCTCTTTCTCTGTCTAGGATGCGGCGCATTGCAACGCAGGCAACGCACGAGCATCCCATACACCTTCCCTCCCCGCCTGGCTCGATCGACCGGAGGCGATAAGGTCGCTTCTCCCCGGTGCCTTCCCAGCTCAGACCAAATCAAACGGTCTTTCAGCACCGTGGACAGCGGTAAGCTTCGAGGAGATTTGTCGCCACCTGCAGGTACGCCACTTCGGCCTTGGAGTGCAGCTCACACACCTGCGGATGGAGAGACGCCGAAATGCGTCGAGCTCGGCAGCGAAGGGAGTGCGAAGGACCGATCGCGCATTTCGGTGCCCAGAAAGCCGCTTTTCGCTGCAAAACGGAAAAAAGGAAGCGCCTCGGGACTTGAAAGCGGTGCTGCTGTAGTTTCAAGGCATCTGGCTGGAAAATTCCATGAGAACATCACAAGAGCCTGGCTGGATCAGGCCCGTGACCCATCTAATGCAGCAATCTGTTCAAACAGTGTCCAGCCAGCTGCTCACAGGAAACCCACAGGCAGGACCTGAGTGCAACAGAACCCTCCCACTCGTGTTCCCCAGCTACTGGTATACATTGGCACACTGCTTCTGATATTGGAGGCTAAGTATAGATATCAGGACTCATAGCCAGTAATAGAATTGGTACAATCCCCTTTTAAGGCCATTACTGTATCTTGCAGGGGTGAAATCCATCACTTAACTATGCAAAGACTTCCTTTAACCTCTCCTGAATCTCCCACTAAGCAGCTTCATGGGATGACCCCACTGGGTTCTACTACTATCAGAAAGAGAATGAGAGAGAGAGATCTCCCCATTCACTTTCTCCACAATATGCATAATTTTGTACAACTTTGTAATATCTCCCCTTACCTTTAAGCTGAAAAGGAATTGCTTCTACCCACTTCAAATTCCATCTTACCTTTTTCAACCCCAGACCAGTGATCAAAGGTGTGTGTGAGGGGGAGAGTACATAGCCAGGCTGGTTTATTGCAAAAAGTGCTCAGATGGTCCATTTTTCTGTCACTCACTCTCCTCTCCCTTCAGTCTTTCTCTGACATTTATTGCTGCATTTCACAAACAGGTGAATCAAAGTTTAAGAGTAGCTGAGTGTGGGAGTCTTGACCTTGGAAGTTGCAGTTAGTATTTTTGCTTAGCCTAAACCAAACACTCTGAAGACGGTGTCCTTCAGATATTCCCCATAATCCCTACCTCTACTGCCAGCATAACTGGAAGACTCCAGCTAGGGGAGGCTGTTCTCAGTCAAAAATGCTCCATAAATGCTGAGATGAAATGCAAAAAATATTGGTGGGGGGAGAAGGGAATCCATAAAAGACCATGATTAAGATCTGAACTAAAAGATACCAGGGCACAAAGATGTCATATCCTTTACCCAGAAAGCCTCCACTCCTAATCACAGGAGGCAGGAGGGGCCCTCTAAATATATTTCAAGAAGTGAAAGAAAAGTATTCTGTGTATTCTCAAAGGCAGTCCTTTCATCAGTACAGTTTAAAACTTTATTGGAAGTGAAAACAGGTCCTGCAGCTGAATCTAAAAACTCTTCATAGTTCAAACTCTATATGATAAGCACATGTGAATACTTTCCATTAAAGAGTTACCTTTTATTGGAGCCAGCAAAGATTTTCAGTTAACTCAAATTAAAAAGATATTTTCCCCAGGAAGAAATGTATGTTATAAATCTGTTGTTGCTGGAAGTTTTGTTGTATTTATGTGCAAGCATCCACGTGAAAGAGTCATGGTCTGTTTTGCTGTATTTTTGCAAAACAGAGATGATTGTGGACATCATTGTTGCAACACTTCCCATTTTGATAAAAATACTTCTATTATACAACTTTTGAACAGATTTACACAGGCTATATGGTGATCAGTACAAGAACTAAGACAGGTGGGGTAAACTAAGAGAGGTTGCTGTATAGCATAATGTCCTTTAAATATCTTTAAAAAGATTTGTTTACATGGTGTCTAGTCAATCATTTCAAAATACCACTGCAGATAGGAAAGTCCCATCCATACAGTTTGATGTCAGTTTCAGCTAGACACTAGAAACAGGCTGTGGGGAGATTTTTCTATCTGCCTTCTTATTAATTTAAATTTAAAGTTTTTTTTTTAGTAAGGAGCAAAAGATTTATATAATCTGACAAGAAACCAGACTATACCCTTTAATTTATGTCTGTGCTCTCATACACACTTATACACACTCAACGGAGGATCTGCTCTCTCTGCTCAAAGGAGAGTTGCACTGCAGGAAATTACAATGCAACCAACTATTGAAATTGTTGATCCCCAGAAGATAAAGGATGGTGCAGCTTCACTTGATAGCAGGCAGCATATAAAAGAAAAAGTCTAAAATAAGAGCACAAAATGAGAACAATATCTCTTGGAACAATCTGAAATGAGCATCAGATTGACACATCATAAATAAATGTGTTGCTAGCCAGTAAACATTTCTAAAGAGTTCAAAGGGTTTGTGTCTGATGACAAATTTAGCTGGCAAATTTGCTTTGTTGACAAGAGCTTTTCATTGGAAGAAAATGAGTTGAAAATGCTGGGGGAAATAAATAATCTTGGGGGGATTTTCAGTTTCTTTTCAGATAGTGCTACTCATGAAGAAAGAGGATTCTTCAATCCAAATTGCCCTAGATTGCCCTCGTGTAATACATATTTGGCCATTTTTAGTGACTGTAGAATGTTACTCTTAAAAACATTATATACAAATTGCCCTGCTGGAATGTTCTACATTTCTTTTTCAAAAATAGCTAATCCTCTGAAAGTTCACTAACCAGTCATCAGAAGCTAACCCCTGCAATTTATTTCTGATAACTTGTAATCTATTGCATTGCCCCCCAGAACAGTGATTTATCTGCCATGTAAAGACAGTGTGGTTTAGTGGTGAGAGTCTTGGACTGGGATTCAGGCGACATGGATTCTAGTCCTCATAGGGCCACGAGACTTACTGAATGACCGAAGTCAGTCACTGTCACTCAGCATATCCTATCTTGCAGGGTTGTACAGAAAAAAGAAAGAAAGAAGAACTGTTGAAGCTTCCTTGGGTTCCTTCCAGTAGAAAAAAAGGAGATATAAATGTAATGGTAAATAAATATTATATACTAACTCTGAACTCATTTTCTGAGTGTTAACCTTATGAAGCCAGAATCCCAATATCCAAGCACAAGAGCTGGGATATTGCTAATCAAACAGTATAGAAATGGTCTAAATAAATACAAAAATAAATCAGCACCAGAAGAAGGAGGAG